TACAAATATTTTTTTAAGTATTTGTTCGAAATAAGTATTCGTAAAAAACACATTATTTGTGCCTTTCCGAATACCGTATTCGGGTTCGGCTCCACCCCTAATGCGTACACCGGTTTTTTTAAATGCATATTTTTATGCTAGCTAAACACAGGCATTTTACCATATCTACACGGTGAAAAATATTACATGCAGATGCATAGAGGGGAAAAATGTCATGTCATGTTGAGACGTACTTTATCTCATGGAACCCTGACGGCATTCTGTACACAGAATAGGCTGGGCAGCCATGATAAGTAAGTGAATGTGTTGTTAGCATTAAGTAGGCCTATAAACCAACTGTTTGCAAAGCACTGTACTGGTATCAGGGTTGCCAGCTTTGGTCAGCTGGCTGGAATGAGATTTTCTATTTGAGATAAGTCTGCACAAGCAGCTACATGTACATTTACATGTACATCTACTTTGCAAATAGTCTGTAGGGTTTGCAAACTACCCCAATGCTTTTGATGTAGCTAATTCTAGGTTTACACTATCATTCAAAAGTTTGGGATCACTTAGAAATTTTTCTTCTTTGTGTGCTTTAAAATAACATCACATTTATCAGAAATACTGTGTAGACTTTGTTATTGTTGTAAATGACTATAATAGCTGGAAATGGCTGTTTTTGAAACAGCCATTTCTACTGGGCGATTGGATTTGAACACATGACTATAGGGTTTGGTAGCCACATGCTTAGCCCACAGAGCCATGCAGCAGTCTGGGGAGCACAGGAAACACACTAAAGACTTGGACAAGACTTGAACCACTGGGCCCAGCTCAGCAAAGCCAGAAATGCCAACAGATGCCATGCTGCTGCGTGTACAAGAAAAACAAAAAAAAACGTGTATATCTCCAGAGTTAACCCCTTTCCCCCCTCCTTCTCTGTACACATATACACACTTACTTTTATAAACTTTTAGTACAAACCCCGCACATACACATACATCTGATCAACTTCAGCATCTCTAACTGTAACTGCTTATCTGCCGTGTCCCAGTCTCTTGTAAGTCACTTCGTATTGTCTGTTTGTCTTTTTGCTTTGTCATCATTGTCAGATCTTGTGGCACTATTTTGCCTCCTGTATGCTTGTTATTTGT